CCTGGCGGCCTCTGGAATACAAGACTAAGTGTGTGATTGTCAGAGAACTGACCCTGAGACCATGGATCTGGTCCTTAATTATCGGTGTCCGGGCGGGAGGTTGAAGGGCGAAGGAAGAGCAAGAGCTGTGTTCTGTGTGTAGCACTGTCACTCGGCGTCCACTGCCATGTGGGAGTCCTGGCTGGTCTGTGCTGACTTCTGGGGTGTCTGGCACACTCCACCTTGCTCGCTGTGCCTCTGTTTCCCCATCTCAGCTCCTTCCTTCCCCACACACAGTTCCTCTCTAAGTGAACATATTGTGTCTGTCTACTTTTTAAAGTAACATACACTTCCCACACTTTCAAGCCCTACACTGAAACCATGGGAAAATGGGAAAGTTATCATCTGCTCTGTCCACGGTTGTACAGATACAACCTGTGTCGGTAACACACAGGAGTGTGTCAGAATACTGAACTTACACAGATGGTTTTTCCAGATGGTCAGGATAAGTTTTAAGCCATATCCTGGGTCTTGCTTTCCTTTGAACAAGATGTGCTTTTATTTGGTCTCCCTGCTTGAAAGACCTCTGGGTTTTCTGTTTAGCACCTAGAGGTATGAGCACATTAGAAAGGAATCCTCCTGACTTACACCATAGACCTGTCTTGAGTGCCCAGAACCTGCCAGGCACCGAGAGAAAGACCATATGTATCCTGCCCTAAGGAAGCCGACAGCCAGGAAAGGCAGAAAAAGTTCGCTCTCACGCAAGTGGAGAATTTGGTGATGTTAGTCCTTGTGGAAGTTCAGAGATAAAAGCCGGGGCTCCACCGAGGCAAAGGGGTAGATGGAGGAGGTTTCCCTGAGGTGACATTTGAGCTGACATTTGAGAGGATGGGATGGTGGGGAAGCATGGGTGTCGCTGACGCTCCAGCAGAGGGGACGGGCTGGCATCCTAGGAAGAGGAGCTGGAGACTCACTGTCGAGGTGAGAGCCCAGCCAGAGTCTCAGCCGGATTCACTTGCTCTAACTGTCCAGTGTCCTGACCTCTCGGAGCCTTGGGTCTGTTTACCCCAAAATTGATGGTCCTGATAGCAATACGATAGATAATAAGGTGAGTTCTTGGTGATGGGTGTGAAACTCCTGGCCAGGCACACCATGCTCTCAGGAAGTGATAGCTCTAGGGAATATAGGACATGGAGGAGGAGATTTGAAAAGCATGTTGATTGCGATTTTAGGAATGGGTTTTTAAAAATTATCTGCATGCAGGTGAATGATTTTTCAGGACAGTTTTTCTGGGCTTAAGTGGATAGATTTCTTTGTTGTTAAAGATGGAGCCCTACCTAGTGAGGTTTATTCACACTACCTCTGTGGTCTAAGGACATACTGTTTTCTCATAAGGGGGCCTTTAGTGAACAGAGGAAATACCAGTTCCTGGCTGTAGGCTTTTCAGAATCTAAGTGGCTGGGCCCAGGAGACCAGAACAAGGGTTCCAGCCTGCAGACTGCCTGTGGCTGCCCATGTGAGCACAGGGCTTCTGGGATGCGATGTCTTCAGGTGCCTGAGCTTCCTGAGCTCGGGCCATGTGCGGGGCCCATGTGTGAGGGAGGGGTCGCCCTCAGAGTCCTCCCCGAGCTGAGGACATGGAGCTGCTCATGGCAGCACAGCTGAAGAGGGGTTGAGTGGGGACTGCTAGAGTTGAAGGCACAGCAGAATGTCCAAGTGGAGTGACCAGGAGGCCGTGGGAGATGTGGGCAGTGACTCAGGCGTGGGAGCCCTCAGGGAGAGCTGGGGTACACTGTCTCCGCTGGGAAGACCTTCAACTAATTTACTGACCTCAAAGTTATTTATAGCAGCTTTGGAAGACTAGACCCATAATTTTAAGAAAAAGAATTAGAAGATAACTTGACATAATAGCCAATATCAGTGGCAAAAGCAGTTTGGGGCATTTTCTCCTTACTTTCACAGGCTCTGTCGGAATTAAGGGGAGAAAATGGGCTGTCTGAGTCCTAGACCCACGCCTACCCCACCTATTAATCTTGCCTCCTTTTTTTAGTTTGTTTAATTCTGTTTATTCCTTTTTATTTTGTTTTAGCTTTCTTTATTCTGCCAGAATTGCTTCTTTCCTAACTGAGCCAATACTCAGGTTTATTTCGCATAAAACATCCGCTTTAGTGCTTAGAAACTACTTACTCATTTTGGAAGTTCTCTTGTTAAATCTTTTAAAAAATTTAAGTATGCTTTTCTGGAGTGTAATTTAGTGTTCTTCACCCCTTTTTAACTCATGCCCTACCAGCCAAGATGTTGTGGCATCTTCCTTTGTAGCTGCTAGTACGAAACAATAGGAGAGTCTATGTGTGTTTTCTGTGGAATTAGATTACAGTATTAAATATTCCTATTTGGGCTTAACAGTGTCCCTCCCTATTTTCTCTCCCTGTTTGTTTGTGGGGTTTTAAAAAAAATATTTTATTGATTTTAGAGAGAGAGGAAGAGAGAGGGATAGATAGAAACAACAGCGATGAGAGAGAAACATCAGTTGGCTGCCTCCCACTCGCCCCCTACTGGGGATCGAGCCTGCAGCCTAGGCACGTGTCCTTACCAGGAATCCAGCCCATGACCTCTTGGTGCACACTTAACCACTGACACACACCAGTTAGGCTGTCTCCCTGGTTTTTGATCAGTCATCCTAAGTGAGACATAAGTCTTCCTTAAGAATCACGAGGCCCTGGACAGGTAGCTTGGTTGGTTAGAGTGTCATCTCAGTATGACAAGGTTGTAGGTTTGATCTCTGGTCAGGGCACATACAAGAAGCAACCAATGAATAAATGCATAAATAAGTGGAGCAACAAATCAATGTTTCTCTCTCCCCTTCTCTCTCTCCCCCCTTCTTCTTTCTGTCTAAAATTAATAAAATTTTGACTTAAAAAAATTTAAGAATCAATCACCAGCCTTAAAATGATAGAAGTAGCAGTTTATTCATCCATTAATTCAATAGTAAATTCAACCTACTATATGCCCGAGCCTGGTCCTAATAGAACCTGCAGCCTGGCGAGCAAGACAGTAAACACGTTAACACGTTAACAGAGACATCATTACAGACTGTCACAGCTGATAGGAAGAAAGTCTGTAATGACATGTGGAACACTAATCCTTTCCCTTTGAAATGATGATTCTGGACGCTTGGTTTTGCTTGGTTGTGGTTACAGGACGACTCTGGTCTGATTGCTGCTGAAATAGCGTGCAACTTGGCTCAGAGACATCGCTCCTTTAGCGTTTTGTCGGCGATTTTTGTTCCGAAGCAGGATTTGGAACTGATTGAATGACCTTTTAGATGCAGTGCCCAAGCACGTCCCTAGGTGGCGATAAAGATGAACTTGCTGGAACACCTCATATTGTCTTGTCCGGTCTCCATTTATTTCCAAGAGGAAAGTTAAACTTCCTCGTACTGAGCATTTGTTGTCTTTCTCGTGACCGAGTGCAGGAAATGCTGCCCTGGCTTTCAGGAGCAGCATCCTGTGACCTAGTGGGCACCTCCCTATCCCAGAGACCTGCAGTGGTCCCAGCTGCGCCCCACGTGGTGTCACCCTAGTGATGCCAGGCCCCCACTTTCCTGGCTGCAGAACGGGGACCATAACTCCCCCCACACTTACCTCATGGGGTCATTATGAAAATCAAGGGTAATAGCATATATGGACACCTTTTGAAAACTAAAAGCATACAAGTGCAGGGCTATAACAGCAATGCCTTTCTGTTACAAAAATAAAATAGTTTCTGAAATTGCCGTGACTAGTGCCATAATTGGGCATTATTTGGGGTAATGGTAAGGCTTCATCATGTATCACATCATAGGACTGAGAATAAATTATATAGCTAGGGCCATTTAATCCTGACCAAAATTAATGGCAGTTACTTCCAAGACAAGACTGTCTTTGAGAAACAAAGGTGGATGTCAATACTGACTAGTAATTGATCATGGGAAATGTCAAAGTTTATTTTACAAGGAAGGAGGCCAGCAGTAATTAAGCTTTTCTTTAAATACGCAGAGTGTAAAAAGAGCTCTTTTGGATCCTTTCTGGATCACCAGGTATCTACCATCCTGTGTTAAACATTTGGTGTGGCGGTGAGAGCAGTTATCCATGAACACAGTTAAAATGTCTACCTGATAATCATAGAGCAGTGTATGTCCAAGTGCCCAGCACACACCACCTGGCACACACCAGCCACTTCAGTGTCATTCTCATGAACAAAACTAATAACTACTGTATTCTCGTGACAGCTTTTACAAACCAACTTTTTCCCCTAAAATATTAGTTCCAAAAAGCCAAAACTTTTGCAGTAATGGTGTGTGTGTGTAATATTCATGGGATTACTGATTTCCTGTCTTTGTCTCTGAGAAAGCTGAGTCTTTTTTAAATCTATAGAAATCAATGTCTAATTTATATAACCTGTTTAGGCTTCCCATATAATAGGTGGTTTATGATTTCCAGAACCATAGTCAGAATTGCTCTTTTTCTGAATAACTCTTTGCATTAGGTCTTTCATTATTTATAAAAGTCATTAAAAGAAAAAAAAAAAAAACTGGGGCAAAGTTTGCTGGCTAAAAGAAAAAGCTGTAGTGGAGAGAAAAGTCTTGTGCCTCAGCCTGTGGCCCGCGGAGGCTGCAGCCCTTGCTCGGCTCTTGCTCCTGGATTTCGCTGGGGGTGCTGCGTGCCTCCGCCTCAGCAGATTCTACGATTACAGTGACATATTGGTTTAAAATGTGTTTCATTTTTCTTGCTGTACCTAAGTGATCTAAACACATAAATACACACTTGCCTTTCCTTTGTTGTCTTTTTTTTTTTTTTTTTTTTTACCAGCAATGTTTAAAAACCCTATTTGTGAGTCACTGGGTTGATGGACTTGGCCACCTCCAGCCTTGTGCTTTTGTGCCTCCCTGTGTTGTACCACCTTCAATGTGTGGAAGTGACTGCATACTGGCTGTTCTGAGACTGGGATTAACCTCCGTGCCCCATTCGGTTCCTTTCCAGGTCCAACTGGCCCACCTTCAACACTCCCTCTAAGCACCCAGACCTCTAGTGGCACCTCCACCTTGTCCAAGAAGCGGCCTCCTCCCCCACCACCCGGACACAAGAGAACCCTGTCTGACCCTCCCAGCCCACTACCTCACGGGCCCCCAAACAAAGGCGCAGTTACTTGGGGTAAGTCATCCTAAAGTCAGGGCCCACACTTCCTAGGGCCAGCCAGTGTGTGGGGCTCCGTGGGCCGTTCATACTTAGCTCACGCAACCAGCGGACCAGACAACACACACGCTGGGGGTACATGGGAATGCTTATGCTCCCTCTACAGGCCAAGGAACATTTTGGGAAATATTTAGGACCATTCAAAAGCTATCATAATAGTACTACTAATAATACTAATAATGCTAATACTAACAATAATAATACTAAGATGCTGAGCATTTCCTGTGCGCCAGCCACTGTGCTAATGAGCCCTCCACAAAATCCACTCAATCACACTAGCAGCTCCGTGAGATAGATACTGTCAGCCTCATTCACAGAGGAAGAAACCAAGGCTCAGAGAAGCCAAGTCATTCATTCAGCTCACAACAGCTAGAACGGTTTCCTTAGAAGATAAATCATTCACAGTCACTGCCCACCCTGCGCTTCAGGTGAATGCAAATTGCTTACCCCGGGACCTAGAGGGGTCCTTGTCAGACTCTTGTCTCCCAACCCTTTTTCTGCCATACCAGCCTCCTGTTACCTTGGGTACATCTGGCTCTTTCCCTCCTGGGTCTGTTCACTCAGTGGACCTGCCATGCCCTTTGACAGGCTGGCTCCCTTGGTCCTCCTGGCTTGTCTGTGTCCCTGGCCCTCCTCTCTAAAAGCACTTCCTCCCCACCCCTTTCCTACAGGGCACCTGTCACAGTTGCTAAGAATTTTGTTTGGTTTTTGGTCCAAGCTCCCGGAGAGCAGGGACCTTGCCTGTCTTGTTCTCTTCTGTATTTACAGGGCCTAGAATTGAGCCCAGTACACAGCAGGTACTCAGTGATCACTTGAGAATAAATAAACCTGCTCAGTCTGTTTGTTTAACCATTTCAGTGACATTGACTACACATCACAAATCTCTCTCCACAGGGAACATAATTTTCACTTTTGTCTACCTTTTCAGTTCACCAGAACTCTACACTAGCCTGTCAGCAATTTAAGCCAAGAACAAAACAAGTGTGTCCCAGCAGGGTCTGGCTCTCAACAGGGACACACAGCTTTGCATGGGTCATCCCTCCTCCCATTGGGTTTCCTTGTGGCTTTTTTTTTTTAATATATCATCACTGATTTCAGAGAGAAGGAGGGAGAGAGAGAGAAACATCAGTGATGAAAGAGGGTCATTGATCGGCTGCCTCCCACACACCCCCAACTGGGGATCGAGCCCGCAACCCGGGCATGTGCCCTGACCGGAAATCGAACCTCGACCTCCTGGATCCTGGGTCGATGCTCAGCCGCTGAGCCATGCCTGGCCGGGCTCCTTGTGGCTTTTTTGTTTCTTTTTGAATCGTAACTGATGGGTCAGTTGGCCAGATGCTTTTAAAGGCCCCATCCAAAGCCCATATTAGGAGTTCTGAATTTTGGGAGTTTTAGGGAAAAGCCATACTACCATTTGCAAATTGGCACACCTGTCAGCTGACCGAAATGCCAGTGTGTGTGCAACTGTGTCTGTGTGTCTGGCCACCAGCATCCTCATGTGTCTGTTGTTGGGGCTTCTAAACCTCTGGGGTCCTGAGGGGGGCAGATGGGAAACAGTCCAGTGAATGTTCTTTACTGTGAGAATTGACACATGCACCAAACATGGAGGGGGTATCTGAAAAGAGTGTCAAACTGCACAAGAGGCTTCGTAGAGGAAGAGACATTTGCCGAGGGTGTTAAGGAATTAGTGCCCAGGTGAGGCAAAGAAGGGAAGAGCAACAGAGGTGCGACACGGGCACATCGACACCAGTCGTCCTGACGTTTTCAGGGACTGCATTCCAGGGCCTCCAGGAGCCCTCAGGTTTCCCCCAAATCACGTTCCACTGACGGTCACAGGTTCCCTGTGCAGATTTTCATATCACAAGTTATAACCTTACATTTCACTAACCTTTGGTTCTTTTATTTAATCCGCCTTTATTTCTCGTCATGTTTATGGTGCCTCTGTTCACCTTCCAGACACAATCCTTCTGCAGTGAGATTTACCAAATTCAATCTTCCTGGCTTCAGAATCATCACATCATTAGGTTTCTCTCACATCCCTCAGCAGCAGGGCCAGCAGCTGGTGTAGTTGTTTGTTTGGTTTGAGTTTTGGGTATTTTGTGGATAAAGGATATTTTTTACTAAACAAAGTTACCAGTTTATGAGAGTGAGTTGTGTCACCAGCTGGGAGCATCCAAGCCTCTCAAAGCTGTGGGCACTGATCCGTCTGCTGGGCTCTCTCACCAGCCTTAGGGACAAAAGTCAAATCTGTCTGCACCCAAAATGACAGTCATCCACGTCCCTAACTTCGGTGGTCCCTCACAAACACCCCCAAATGGTAATTCTTGGATTATCAGGGTGCACCTCTGTGTTGGGGTGTGTGCACATATACGAGATACACTTAACAGCAGCTGCAGACACACTCAGTGGCAAACGCATGCACTGCAGCGGACTTCTCATCAGGTCGGCCACATCCCTCTGACCCTGGTTTTTCTGCTTTCGTGTCAGATAATTGCCACTCGGTTCCATCCATACCTGTCTGCCACTAGCGTGTTCCTGAGGCCAGACGGGGGGTGGGAGGATGGGCAGGCGACTGGCTGTTAACAAACCGGGGCGGGGGTGTCGGACTCATGGCAAATGTCTGATGCCTGCAGCTCCCCTCTGAACCTGTCTCCTGTGCTCTGAGATCCCCTGAACCTCCCTGAGGCCAGGACCAGGGCCTGGGGTAGATACCAGGTGTGAGAAGTGGTACACCTTAGCTCTGCCCAGGCCTCACCCTCTGACCCTGAAACAGCATGCCTGTCATAATGAGGTGCACCAGGTTCCCAAACTACATCCTTTCCCCTAACATCTGAGCCTCTGCTCACTGTATGACCTCAACCTAGAATGTTCTACCCATTTGTGTTTATGTTTAGTCAACTTTCCAGGTCTCCTGTCCAGGGGGTCTGTTGAAAAGGCCTTCCCCAATCCGGCCACCACCCGCTCCCACTCTGTTCCCTCCAGCCCAGGATTGTCCGGTGGCTCTGTTTGCCTCCCTCACTTGCCCGATGCATCCTGAAGTCCTCACCGGGACGTGTGGGGTTTCTTTCTCCATGGAGCAGAGCACTCCCTTGTGGGCCGTGTCATTCCTTGGTAGCCCTGTGACGTTCAGCAAGTATCTTTGAATTGTTTCATACCTCAGTTTCTCCAACTATAAAATGGGGCTAGTTAATAGTTCTTACCTAATTCTCTTTTTCAAACTGTTTTTATTGAGTTTAGAGAGAGAGGAGGGGAGAGGGATAGAGAGATAGGAACATCGATCCAGTGACCTCTTGGTTCATGGGTCGATGTTCAGTCACTGAGCCATACCGGGCAGAGCTGCGTTCTCATTCTTGACCACAGTTCCACAGGGAAGGAAACACAGACAGAAAGGTTAAATCACCTGCCCGGGTTCTCCCGGCTGGTGCGTGGGGAGCCTGCACTCCTCGCCCTCTCCCTTGCCTGCTGTGTTCTGCACGGGGCAGCTCCCTGCCGCCCTGGCCGTCCCAGTCTTCACACTTGTGCCTTTGCCTGCGAGGTGGAGACAGGTGGGCACACTCCTGGCTGTGGCCCCTCATCCATCTGCAGCATGGAGCCCTGGTGTGCAGCGAGGGCCACTCCTGGCTCTCTCCCTGCCAGAGCCACGGAGCCCGCAGCCCCCAAAATAGCCCTGGCTCGAAGTCCAGAAGTCCCGCAGCCGTGATGAATGCAGAGGTCTGTCCCAGGGGACCTCGGGCAGGCTTTTGATTGGGAAACAAGCACGCCTGTGGGCAGATCTGGGTTTTGTGGGGACTTTGGTTTTTGAAGTGGTGTGTCATTAAGTCACCTTTGGGGATAAAGGAATTTGCTTATAACCTGCTTTTAACCAGCACATATTTTAACACAATTTAGAAAAAATTAATAAGGGTATGAGATCAAAGGAGAATATAGGTAGCAAAGTAACAACGTCCAGAGTGCAGCCTCCTCACAAAACTCATGACATACAGTTACATGCAGTGGCTGGAAGTGGACCACCAGTGTGACACCGAGGTTCTTACCGGCAAGAGCATGCAAAAAATACAACTGTCAGTTCCTGGTGGCTGCATGGTGGACTCTTCTCACACTTGAGATGTGTGTAATTTGTACCTGAGAGCAGTTTCCCCAGGACCTCTGTCCTCAGGCAGGTATTGAGGGAATCGTCTGCTCGTGGGAATCCGTGACATGCGCTGGAGGAACATTCTGGAAGCCCGAGTTCCGGTGCGCTTCTACCAGCCTTGGCTCAGTGACTTACATTCTCAGTCTGGCCACTGGGACTTAAAGTTATATGAGCTTTTTTAATGTAGAGCAAATAATGGAAGAAGCACTGCCCCAGAATTGGATTCACTTCTCCTACTTCAGGGCCAGAACTTGCGGGCAAACAGGCTCAGTGTCTGATTGGCAGTGGTGTTGGCTTGTGCAGACCCTTTGACTAGAAACATCCTTTTCCTTCCTCCTTGGAGTCCCAGTCTGTTCTCATGTCCGCTCCCCCACCCCATTTTGCACGCAGTCATAGAAATGATCATGGCTTCTGCCACTTAGATTGTTTGCCGGGTACCAGGGTCACTTGTTCACACGTTGTTTAGCCATCACAGCCATCCTATAAGATAGGGACTGTCATTGTCCCTAGTTTACTAATGAGGATTTCAAAGAACAGAGAAGTCAGACAATTTGTATCATACAGAGTCCAGGGCCTTCAGTGCTGGTGTCTGAGCCCCTTTCTGGCTCTGAAGCTCACGTCACTATCGACTGTTCCAGGCGACCCCTGGAGTCTCTGCCATCGTGCCAGGCCAGTGTCTGACTCTGCACAAGCTCTGGCCCGCAGCTAAGAGCTGACGCGAGTGGCCACAGCTTTCTCAGTGGCCTGCCCAGCATCTGTCTTCAGCTCTCTCACACATCTGTGTGTTACACTGGGATCCTTTTCCAAAATGCACAGAGAAAGGATTGAGCTGCTTCTGTTTTTTTGCTCTTCCCTCCAATACTCCCCTGTTCGCAGAAATTTTTCTAAACCACACTATTCTTCCCAGGCCTGGCAGGTGGCCTTTGCCTCGCTATGAGCATGACTGGGTTCCTGCCTGCCGGGGACAGGTGCCTGCCCACCCAGGTGTGTGAGAGATCAGCTGAGGCAGAGGGGCTGTGTCAGCGCTGCTGGCTCTGTCCTCATTGAGCAGGCGCCTGGTGACTGCTCCGTGCCAGACACTGGGCCAGAAAGTGGGGTTACGAGAGGAGCAAGGCAGAGCCCTGTCTTTGAGATTCTCGCTCATTGAGTAAATCATTTCTATTACTTCCATCAAGGAACTGTGTGATAGTAAGTGCTACTGAGTCAGGCTCCCTATGGTCCAGCACTGTGCTCCACCCTCCAGAGCCTCTCTCTCTAATGCTCATGCCCATCTAGTGGGGTGGGGACTGTCATAACTCTCATTCTATAGGTGAGGGCCCTGAGACTTAGTAGGAAAAGCCATGTTCACACTCATACGCTCTGGTCAGCAGCACGGCTGGAATTCAAAACTGGCTTGTCTGGCTCCAGCAGTTGCACCCTGCACCACTTCTATGACCAGTGGGCACAGGCACCCAAGAAGCAGGGAATGATAGCTCATGGCTGGGGGAAAATGCTCGGAAATTGGCTTCAGAGATGTACTTTGAAGTTTGCATAAGAATTTACCCCTAGTGGGAGGGGGAACAGAGGGAGCAAAGTGACAGAGACAAATGCACAATGTCCTTGGGGGATGGGAGTCGCCTTAAGTGCCAGAGGACATTCTGTCGAGGAGGCCCATCCCGCACTCCGCCAGCCTCTCCCTGCCCTGTGGTTCAGGGGATGGGAGGTGATGGACTGTGGTAGTTGGTGCAGACCCTGCAGGTGGACTGCTCAGCTTTGTGTCCCAGCTCTGACCTTTACCAGCTACATGACCTTGGGCTTTTCTTCTGTGTGTGTCTTCCTCTGTAAATAAACACAGGGTAATTGTATTGCGAATGTCATAAGCATAATCACTGTGAGGTACTTGGCACAGAGCCTTCCTCGCAGTAAGTGCTCAGTAAACTGTAGTTGCCATTGTTAATGTTACCATTGGGCATCATGATGGTAACAGAAATCATGTAGACTTGAGGTCAGGACTGACAGGTACATCCTTGAGCCGTGTGACCTGGTGCCATCCCTTCACTTATCCTCGTTTCCTCCTCTTCAAAATGAGAATGATGCCAGCTCCTCGCATCGTTAGGAGGAAGGAAAGCATTAGGGCCTTGGAGCAGATGCACCAGCCAGGGAGCACGCTCAGCCCTGTCCTCTCCGTCCACCTGCCTGTTTCTGAGCCTGCCCATCCAGCCCCTTCCCAGTGCCACTGGGCAGTGTGTGGGCATCTAGGCAGGGGAGGGAAGGGGTCAGCCAAAGGAGTGGATAGGTTCCCAGCGCAGTCACGGGAAGGGCAAGCAAGGAAGTGGCCCAGAGCCAGAGACAAGCTGCAGGTGCCCAGGGACAACTCCGGGGTGCCTGGCAGCTTGCCCCAGGATGCCCCACGCTGCTTCATGCTCCTCCCACGTGGAATGGGTCACAGAGGAGCCTTATTTCTGCAGCCAGCCTTCCTGCCCTCTGGACAGAGCACAGGGTCTGGTCTGGTGCCCCTCCACTAGAATGAGCTCCACTGTTCAGGGGCTGTGTCCCCCAAAGACCACTTTCCTTCCTCTCTCACCAGGGAGTTTGGACACTGTCTCCTTTTTACCACCCAGCTCGTTCCACATGACTAGTGTAGTTTGGCCAGATCCTAAACTCTGCAAGAGCAGTGACATTTTACTTGCTTTTGTGCCTCCTAGTACGTGTTCATGCCTTGCACATAGTAGGTACTAAATAAATGTTAATGTTTGAATGAATGATGTGTAAGTGACCGAGGGCCTTGCCCAGGAGATGGCCACTTACCACTCCCTGCTGAACTGTGTCCGCACATATACACCTGTGGGTTGTGTGTTTCTTCTGCACCTGGCATCTACTGACCTGGAAGCCTCTAGGTGAACTTATGCACACAGTCTTATCAGTTCCTTTATGGAACCTAAGGGTACCTGTCTGCCAAACCCTACATCCCTGTATTCCATTTCACTGTCTGAGGCTGCAACTTTTTACATCTGATTTTCCCTGAAGGTAACGACATGGGTCCATCGTCATCGAGTAAGACTCCAAACAAGTTTGAGGGGCTGTCTCAGCAGTCAAGGTAAGCCAGCTCTGTCCTGCTGGGTTGATGCGATGGGCGGAATTATAGAAGTGGGTTTTAGTGACAATCTGCTCCGAGTGTGGCCTGCCAGCTGGCGCTGGTTCTGGTGACAACCTCTCCAGTTGCATGTACCCCTTGTCGCTGGGCCTGGCGCACTCTGCAGACTGCACTGTGAGTGGACAGCTGTCCTCCATCCGAGGTCCAGGTGGGATTAGAACTCACATCCCTGAGTCGCAGTCTGTCAGAATGAGTTTTTCAGCTTTTTAAATTAACTTGTTTTGTCTCATTACTTTCCCTTAGTTCCATTTTGCAGACTTGGGAGTGAAAAGATAGCCCTCAGTGAAATCTGACAGCCTAGAGATTTTCAAACTTTTAAAAATAGGGCTCTTGGAACATTTCTTGTGAGCACTGTTTATCCAGTCTCAAGGCAGAGGATTTTTTTCTAGAGGCCTGAGCTGAGGACACAGAGAGCCACTTCCAGACCCAAACCTGAGGGAGAGTCAGCTGTTGTGTGGGTGTTGCTTTCCAGAGTTTCTCCAAGGTTTTTTTAAAAGCAAAAATCCTCATTTCTTTTAATGCCATTGTCCTATTTAGTCTTTACCACCCTGTGAGGCAGGCCCCATTGGTACGATGTGCACTTTTACAAATGAGGAAACAACCCTAGAGGCTAAGTGGTGGCAGGTGGTCTCAGCGCTGGACTCAGATCCCTGGCTCTGCAGACTCCCAGTCCCGGAGTTCCTTTCCCTGGCACCCTGCCTGACAGGACCTGACAAAATCACTCCAAATACGTTTGAAGCAAAACCCTTTGGCGTTTACTGTTCTCAGTTCAGTAGTGGCTTTCTTTCAACAGGATCTTCTAGTAGCCCAGGGGCAGGTAGGACTTCAGGTGAGATGAAAGACCACTGAGACCAAGGGTGATTGAGGGCCAGGATAGAAAATGCAGGCGTGTCATCATCTTTCTGTGGCTCAGTTTTTGCTTAGTTATTTTGGCTTTTCCTGTTCTTTTAAATGCAATTAGGATAGAAGGGGGAAAAGCCAATTCTTAGGACATCAAAGGACAGAACAGGAGAAGTGAGATATTAAAAGGAGCCCTTGGCAGATAGATTCAGGCACTTGGCTGCTGTTGCTTTGGAGTCCACAGAGCTCTTGTGTCCTCAGAGTAGTTGTGGCCTCTGTTAAAGGGAAATAGTGGGTTCCAAGGACTAGATGCCACCTGCAGCGCTGGCATTTAAAGAGTGTAGAGGTTAACATTTGACTATTCAGACGACACTGGCAGACTTCTGTCGTGGGGACCTGGGCCTTTCCCTGCTCCTTTACATGGCCTCCCAAAGGAGGGGAGGGGAGGTCGCTTTGGAGGACATGAGGGCTCTGGAGTCTGGCATAGCTGGGTCTTATTTCCATGTCCACCACCCACCAGCCTCAGGACCTTCTCTGGTCGCTGAAGTCTCCTCATCTGAAAACAGAGACCGCAGGGGTCACGTTGTGGGGTCATGTGACATGAGTTACTTCTGTGTCCCACACCTGACACAATCTAGTGTGCCAAGTGCTTTCACAAACGTTATTACCTCTGGGAAAAGGTGTCAAGAGGAGGAGGAGTTCATCTGAATCACTCAGAAACACCCTTTCCTCCCTCTTCCCAGCCAGGCAAACTTTGAATTCTGGAAACTGGACTGTAACCTTTTGTTAAAGAAATTTTGAAAGGGTTTTTAGATAGTTCAGCAAACACCTATGATTTCCTTGAATAACCTGTCACCGCTGACATAGCACTTTTAGGTCCTAAATGATTTTTTTTTTTTTATTAGCACCAGTTCTGCGAAGTCCGCTCTTGGCCCAAGAGTTCTGCCTAAACTACCTCAGAAAGGTAAGATTTATTGCTTTTGTTTTCATGTGTAATTGGTGTCACTGTCCCTCTAAGGGGACAGGGTTTCTCTCTCTTGGCCACTCTGTGTCCCAGATGCTGGAGTGGCACCTGGCATGGAGTGGATGCCTAGTACATACGTGCTCCATGAAGGAGACACTGATAAATTCAAATGTTGTGATTAGCAGAGCACCTCATTAGATTCCCCGGGTCCCATTTCTTCTCTTTCGCAAACCTCATCAGACCTGGGAACCAGGTCCAGCTCTACCACTCACAAGCTGTGCAGCTGGGCAGGAGACAGAAGCTCTCGGGCTTGGTTCCTCGCCCGTAAATGAGGCAAGAATACTATTTCCTGAGGCTTTGTGAAGACGAAATGAGGTCGTGCTTCAGAGAGCCCCTAGCTCTCGGGTCCCTGAGATGGCGTCTGTCGCCCGCCAAGTACAGTGGTACCTCGGTTTTCTAATGTAATCCGTTCCGGAAGACCGTTCAAGTTCTGAAACGTTTGGAAACCGAGGGGTCCACAGCCCACAGCTGGGCCTCAAGATCTTGCCCTCAGCGGAAGCCGTGTGGCATGCTCGACTTCCGAGGCGTGTTCGAAAGCATTCCCATCCGGGTTTATGGCATTGGCAGACCGGAACATTCATCAGTGGAGGTATTTAAAAACCGAGGCACCACTATACAAGAAAGCAGTGTCAGTGCTGCCACTCCGCCAGGCAGACACTCACCCTCTCCCCAGCAATTTAATCCTGGCCAAGCCTGTCACTGGAGAGACCGAAGCATCCGTCTTCCTCATCACATGGAAGTGAGTGTGCGGAGCTTGTGTTGCAGTGTTCCAGCTTTAGAGTTGCAGAGCCCCCCACAGGGGCGCTTGGTTCCCTCCGCTCACCCCCACCCAGGCCCACAAGGCAGCAGGACCCACTCTAGGGATGGACAGAGGCCTTGAGGAGCTTGGTGGCCGCTCTGTGGGTTTCCCTGCCGACGGTGAGACCTTTGACCCCAGAAGTCAGACGAGGGGTCCGTGGTGGGAAGCTAGAATTCACCTCTCCCAAGGTCTCAGCCCCGCGGCGAGTTTGGAGGAGTGTGGACTGGTCGGGCCTGGCTCCTGTGTAGGATGAGAGGGGAGTCCAGACACTTCCCGCATTCTCCTGGGGCACAAAGGAAGGCTTCCCCTGGTCTGCTGGATCTGACTAAAGCCACTGGGTTTTCTCTTTTAACCACCGCCCAAAGAGCTGTCCTGACCTCACAGAGACGGAAGCCGAGATCCCCAGCGCCATTCCCACTTCTCTGCAGTCGGCCCCACCCAGCCCCATGTCCGCCCGCTGATCACACTCCCGAGGCATCCCCCCTCGCACCCAAGCCCTACTGGGACCTGCGTTGCTGCTGCCACTCTCCACATCCCATCCCGGCCTCCTCCCCGAGCCACCTGCCTCCTGATGCTGTCCTGTGCTGGCTTCTGCTCACTTGACTGACACTAGGCCTGACCACGCCCCTGGGTGTGGCTGGGAAGTAGTCAGGGTGGGGGTTCCACTGCCTCATGACCACAGACCCGGAGGGCCTCTGTGCTGGTGTCCTCCCCAGCAGGTCACTGTGTCGTCCAGTTGTGGTGAAGTTGGCTGTCTGCCCTTCAGAGTGAATGTAGTTCAGAAAGGAGTTTTCGCTGGGGAGGGAGAAACACAGCCCGGCTGGGAAATTAAAGAGCAGAGGTTGGACAGGCTCCCTGGAGGAGAGACTGTCTCTTGACTTATTTTGTTTCTTATTATAAAAATGATATATATTGCCGTAGCCAATTTGGCTCAGTGGTTAGAGCATCAGCCCCGTGGACCAAAGGGTCACAGGTTCAATTTCTGGTCAGGGCGTGTACTTGGGTTGCAGGTTGGTTCCCCAGCCCCGGTTGGGGGGTGTATGGGGGAAGCAACCAATCGATGTGTCTCTCTCACATCAGCGATGTTTTTCTCTCTCTTCCCCTCTCCCCCCACTTCCACTCTCCCAAAAAATCAATGACAAAAATTTCCTTGGGTGAGGATTTTTTTTAAAAAAGTGATATATATTCATTCTAGAAGATTTGAAAACTACGGATAAGCAAAAAGAAGAAACTGCAAACCACCTGAAGTCTTCCCACCAAGATAAACAGCTGGGGCCATCCTTTTATTCGCTTTTCTGTGCTTTTTTTAAAGTTTCCATTTAAGCTCATTTTTTCATGTAACAATTAAAAACATTGGCTATGACATAAATTACATAACAGGGCGACTTTTCCTGGCTGCATAGTGTTCCATCGCCCAGTCCATGCTATTTTAAGCAGGGTCTGTTATTTAATAGTCACGTAGTTTGCTTTTTTCCTTCACTATAAACACTGCCGTGCTGAACATTCTAGCTCAGACATCTCAGTGCCTAGCTTGGATCTCTGTTCTAAGATAAATTTCTAGAGGCAGAGGTACATGTTTTGAGGGTTATAGCTACTCAGCACTTACAGTTTCTATTCCCCCAAAAGTGTGGCCTACAGCAAGGCTTCCCAGCCGCCTGCCTCAGGGATCCCCCAGGTTTCCCCCATCACTACCTGCCTCAGACTTCTGTTTACTCAGTTTTAAACCTTCAAGTGAGGAATCTGGTGGTCCTACTGTAACTTTTTAAGCTGAGCCGCATCAGCTGAAGCTCAGGGGCCAGCAGTGAGCAGGGTGTCCTGGAATCTGAGTTCCCCAGGAAGGGAGGGGGTTAGCAGGCCGTGGGCGGAAACAGCCTCAGTGCAGCTTGCAACAGTTTGCAACACTGGGGTTCGTCTTCCTTTATTTTTATATTTTCACTTTAAGACTATCTGACTGTTGGGTTTTTAGGATAAGTTGTTTTTTCTTTGACTCATTCTGTGTGCCTTAGTCAACCATTTTCTCGCTGAGCCCTGTGACTGGCCCCTGCGTCAGGAGCCAGAGCTACAGGAGTGAGAGAAAATGTAAATCCTGGCTGCAGGGAACCCTGTCTGATGGAACAGTAAGAGGAATGTGATGCTTAGAGCCTGCCAGCTCCTGCGGCCAGGTCTTTACAGATATTTTAGGGGTGAGGAAGGTGAGGCACAGCGAGGGTGTGTAATTTACCCAAGGTCACACAGCTGGAAAGTAAGTGGTGGAGCTGGACTCAGAGACGTGTCCTCAGTGTCCTGAGTTCTGCCGGACAGAGCTGTGCAGAGAGCTGCGGGAGTGGTCCAGTCACCCACCCCAGGCCATGGAGTGCCACGTAGCCCAGCGCCAAAGGGAGTAGGACGGCCTGACTTAGAAACACTCCCAAGCCTGTTCAGTGGGAAATAAATCAGAGTTGCAGACTGTGTAGATAGGGTGATCACGTTTATGGTTTATTGTAATCATGTTTATTCATGAGCACATGTACCTTTGTCACCAAAATGTAATCGGAGGGATCGTAGGGGTGGTGAGAGGAGAAACCTCTTCCTACTGATATTAAAGAATTTTTGTTAACATGGTCAGTGCCCTTGCTAAGGCAGTATATAGATAAAAGTTTTCTGTATGGCAGATGTAAAAAAAAGTCAAAAAGAAAATATATCAACATATTTAAAATGGCTATAGTTAGGTGATCGACTTCTGGGAAACTTTTAACTCTGTACTTTCCAATTTTCTCTGATCCGTATTGTGCTTATGGTTGTGGGATTTTAAACTGTGGATTCGTTTCGACATACTCTTATTACATAACTGAGGCGTAAAGTCATGAGTGGTAACGTGGGTGCCTCCCAGGCTTCTAGCTCTTGTCTGTTTAGAAACGGGCAGCATGCGCCTGGGTCTGGCCTGAGCTCCAGGTGCCCACATTAGGTCTGTTCTCTTCAAGGTGACCGTCTTGTGTTCTGTCCCCGTGACCCCCTCTCTGTGCTTGTCCCCACAGTGGCTCTACGGAAGACAGACACCATCCATCATCTCTCTCTGGACAAAGCCGGCCTCCCACCCGAAGTTGTACAGAAGTCGGCACAGCTGGCAGACTTACCACAAAAGCCACCACCTGGAGACCTGCCCCCCAAACCCACCGAGCTGACTCCCAAACCCCAGATGGGAGATTTGCCACCTAAGCCAGGAGAACTGCCCCCCAAGCCACAGCTGGGCGACCTGCCACCCAAACCCCAGCTCTCAGACTTACCTCCCAAACCGCAGGTGAAGGACCTGCCTCCCAAACCGCAGCTGGCGGACCTCTTGGCAAAATCCCAGCAGGGAGACGCCTCACCCAAGGCCCAACCGCCCTCTGACGCCACCACAAAGTCACACTCGGTGGATCTCTCCCCGAACGTGCCAGCCCGAGACACCATCCAGAAGCAAGCCTCTGAGGATTCCAATGACCTGACACCCACTTTGCCTGAAATGCCTGTCCCGCTGCCCAGGAAGATCAACACGGTGGGTCTGAGACCGGGTTGGGGGGTTAGGGGCTACTTACACAGAAAAAGCAGGAGCCTGCTCACCTAACAGGCTCTGTGTCTGCATCATGCCAGAGCGGGGCCTGCCCGTTGGGAGCACAGGCCACAGAGCCCACCTGCAGTGCCCGCTGTGACTCCACCTTCTCCCAGCCTCAGTTTCCTCATGTACAGAAAGGAGCTGATACAGTAACTGGGCTCCTGGGTAATTAAATGCATTTAGCTGGCACCTGGGAGACCTCCACACGTGAGCGCTCTGACCCAGGAACCTGAGGTTGGGACTCTTCCTTCCTCGGGTCACAGAAAGCAGTCCCTTCCCAGGGCTCTAGAACCCCCACCTCTGAGCATCTCACTGCGTCTTCCTGGAGGAGCTAGGCAAAGCCCAGAGACCTGCACAAACAGAGAATTTGGCTAAAGTCTCAAATTCCATCGTTTTCATGGAATGCTTTCTGTTCTGTAATGTATCAGCTTTATTTTGATATAAAAATGATTTTTTCCCCAAAATCTTTTTTTGGAGAAAGTGATGTTCTAGTGAGATTCATGTATGCCGTCTGTCCTGCCCACGGCTGCACCCCCACAGGGACACTGACACCCCAGGTTGAGGGGCGCAGCTAATGGGGGGATTGGATCAAAATGCCTCCCACTGTACATGACAGCCCTGCCCTCGTTCACATTTTACTCTGAAAACAACATGACAATAAAAGTGTGGCCTTCATGCCCTGGCCAGGTGGCTCAGGTGGTCGGAGGGTCGTCCTGTACACCAAAAGGTTGCAGTTCAATGCCCAGGTTGGGGTGTGTGTGGGAGGC